TTTTTCTTATCTTCTTTTCTACTGTTAGTTTCACTCTTAACATATTAAACGTTAGGCCTATCACTTCTATGGTAGTTAACTTCACACTAACTTTATTCTCTTTTGCTATTATCTGTCTGTCTCCTGCTACCTGCTTTGTCTCACGCTATTTATATCTTTATCACTTAAACGTCTGTCTGTCTTCTCAATGTCAATGAATTATTAACAAAACTTCGTACAATCGTCTGCTTTTAATTCTTATTATAACAAAAACTAAATGATAATAAAATATTCACTCACAAAAATAAATTAATCACTAATATCTAAACCAAACAGTCTTTTATTTCATGACAAAATGTCAATAATATCTGTAGAAGTATCTATCGTATGAAATCAAGGATAATTCAGAAATCACTTTAAAAGAAAAACATTGTGAATGAAAAGATGAAGATTAATATCATGTTAGAATACTGCAGTGGTTGAAAAAATTATGAAAGACCAGACACCCATTTTTCATTTTTTTTATTTGATTGTGTTGTAGCGGGTGTGTAATTCTTGATTAATAGAATGTAATTGATTAATTAGCTCATTGTTTAATCAATTGCCAAAACCATGAATCAGCCAGCTCTAGTATTAACCTATAACAATCATATTTTTAAGTACATGCAGTTCATGAGAGAATAAATATAATACCTATTGTTGTCAAAATGACAATATTTTTTACATAATTGTATTTTTAATCTTCATCATTTACCATAAATAAAACATATTAAGTATGTAATGTATATTTGTGTGACATGAACACTTGAAAGTACTGCTAGACACGCATAAGTTGTTTTATTAGAAATTCTAAAGAAAAATATTCAAGTACCTTTCATAATATTTTCTGAATTTTTTTTTTTTCACACAGCCCAGAAAAGAATGGCTTGAACATTGGACTAATTGCTCAACACATGGATATAACAGAACCTTTGACAACACTTCGGAGTTTGTTGGAGCAACGGTTAGGCATTTCTCTTGAGGATTACACATTCTATTTGCAAGATAACCAAGAGGTGATATTTTTAAAATTATATAATTTGTAAGGATGTTTTTGATCTGCAATATTTCTGTATGATTTACATTTCTTACTAGCATAAACTACCTATGCTCTGTTGCAGGATTTTAAAGTCTCCTCATGATTCACAAAGGCTTCAATGTACCAGTCAAGTGTCTTCATTATCTTAATTATTTCTATAGGTACCCCAATTTGCAAATTATTTAATTGACTTGTTCGCTACCTTTTCCCGAACTTAATTTAATTCAACTCTTAAAAACAAATAGTTTTAATTTAGCTTCTCAGATTTGTTTTTATTTGAATTCTTTTCATTCTATGAATTCTCCAGTATTCTCTGGTTCATATTTTTCTTCCCGCTATTTGTTGTTGTTTCCTAAACTTAGTTCAATTCAACTTTTTTTTTAATTTTCAGATTTGTATTTTTCTTCCCATTTTTGTGTTGAAAAAAGAGTATTTGGCAGAAAACCTCCACATATTGTTCATTCAGTAAGTGAGAATTAGAAATAAAAAATGATAGTTTTCTATAGACCTTCAGGAAGCAGAATTATGAGGTTTAAGGCTATAGGATAAAAAAATTGGCCAAACATTTTTTGAATCACATATATAAAGTAATCTGCACACTCTCAGAATCCCTTTAGTCTGCATGCAAAGCTTCTGGACTCTAGGTTCTTTCCTCTTGGAGCTATGGCAGTCTCACACACACACACACACACACAGGCAGGCTCTTTTATTGTTATACATTTCTCATTTTCACGATGGCTTTAATTATCAACAAGTATTTTCTGGAGCCTAAAGCACAGAAGGTAAATTATTATCAGTTATATGCCAGTAACCTATAGCAAATTAGAATTTTTTCACTAGGAAATTTACATTTCAGAGTGGGTGATGCCTGTAAACTGATGTAACATAATAATATGTAGACATGTCAGAATGTAGTGTTTTTCTTTTAAGTGGAGCACTGTGTTGTTTAAATGATATTATACTTGTAGACATTGATAATAAATCAGAAAAAAACAACTAAATATAATGGTGATTAGTGAGACTACTAGTATGTACAGGATAGCATAAGTTAGGGAAAGTTAACACATCTAAGTAAGAACTTTATTCTTTATACATAGTTTTTATGTAGATGTGTTAATGTATTCTTTTTTACCTTTTTATTCAAATTGTATCTACTCGCATCTTGTGGAACAATAACCACTAAATAACATGAGTTACATACACTTATGTTTTTGGACCGAGTTTTACAGAGATGATAAATCATGTGGTGGTAAACAGTATGTATGCAACTGATTTAGGTTATCAAGCTTGTGAAATTTATACAAAAGTACTGGGAAACAACATACAATAAATTATCCACTAAAGCCTATTAGCATAATATTGATAGAATAAAATGCAATTATCTCTTAATATATTATACTATAAATTTATTATGATCATATTATTATAATGTTGAATTTATGCCTGACATAATTTGAAGTTAGTTCTGATCAGAGTTAAATTCTGTGGAGCACCCTGGTGATTTAGCAGTAAGCTTGAACACTTACAAAACTAAAAATTGGGTTTCTATTCCTAAAGTGGGCAGAGCACAGATAGCCCATTGTGTAGCTTTGTGCTTTATAACAAACAAATGTTTTGTGGATAGGTGCATTACAAAAGCTGTTCAACAAATAACAGGAGTGAAAACATTGTTAGTTGATAAAAAATATAATATTACTACTCTGGACATTTTCAAAAAAAGAAAGGAATTTTGAGGATCAAGGTCTTTTTTAAGGGTTTGTAAAGTTACTTCAAACAATTTTTTTTACTAGCTTTTATGAATACTATATTGCAACTTCAGCCTTATTATATGCAATTGATCATGGAGTATGTATTTATAATATTATTTTATAGGATATAAAGTAAAATGTAGAAGCAAATTTATATGTTGTGTTTTGCTTAGTTGCAGTGTTAACTTATATCTTTATCAAATATACGCTGTACTTAATAAAGGCTTAACTAATATTAGGCCTAAGACAAGTGGACTTTTAGATTTCGATATCTGAGATTAGAATTCTTTTGTATTATTCTAGAAATCCTGTATTTAAATGAGTACTGTTGCAATAAAGATACTCATTTGACTGCAAATATTTTGCGGGTGTCTGCTATTGTTATATTAATTTATTTATTTTGTTATTGTTTATTTAAAAACAGTTAGAAAATTTACATTTGTAATTTATCGCATGGCTAAAAGACTGACATGAATAAGTGTTCTTTTTACTGTTCTGTGAGCATTTGCCTTGTGATCAAAGAGTTGCTAGTTTGAGATGTGTCAGTACTTGTCACGCCTTCCACTGGAACACAAGTTCAGGAAAATTAGAGATCCATCTTGTGGTTTGAGTACGGCAGTGCCATTTCAACATAGGTTGCTGCTAAAGCATGGACCATTGCAATTATGAGAGAGACTGATTGGCCAGTGGTGAAGCTGTTGTCGAAGTAAATCCCCTGACATTGACTTCAGTAGACATTGAAAGTTTCACTGCTGATGACAAGCACAACAATCTGTTGATTGTTACAGACTTGAACTTTCCTGGCACTTAGATTATCTCTGTCTGGACATTAGCTTTAAGGAGGTTCTTTTTGGTTTAGGAATGTAATGAATCTGTCAAAAGTGCAGACTCATTAAATGTTGATGTTTTGTTACAGTGCATCCTTCAACAGGGTTACTGATGATCTTTTGATGGTGGTTCTTGATGTTTCCATTGGTACCAACTTGTTCTGTGGTAGACACCATTGGCTTCTGTGATGGGCAGGCTTGGTTCCATCAGAATATTATATGTACAGTAAGTGACTCAGTCATGTTTAAGTCATCTCTTGGTCGACTAGATGGATCAGCAGTCTTTGGTATCTGCTTCATTCAGAACCTGTACATTAAATGAGTTGGCCAGCAACTCATCTCCCTACATAGCTCTACATCTACCAGTCCAAATATTAAACTTGCTTCTGGAGTTTTGGGGAACCCTGGATAATCTATGGAATCTCCCAGGTTGCTGAAGATATAGCTCTCTAGAAATGTTTTTCCATGTTGAGTGAAATGGGGTGGTTCAAACTAATGTTCAAACTGGCTAATTGCATTGATATAAGAAAAAGCAAGAAGGGTCAAGAATATGATTTTATTTAGAAAAAAAGTCAGGATTGAAATGCATGGTCAGTCTAGTTCTGATTTGTCAGATGTTCAAATGGAAGTGATGCTGTAAGAAGTCATACTCTTTTGATGTTGTGATCCAAGATATAATCATTCCTTCTGCATTTTTAAAGTTCATAAGGCACTTCACTGATACATGGTCCATATATAGTGAAATTTCTACCACAAAGATAGTGACAGTAGTGTTTAACAAAGACCACAACTGTGAGAAATTCTTTCTTTATTGTCCAGTATTTGCTTTCAGAAGTCATCGACGTACAACTAGCATATCTAGTCATGTATTCTACTGTGTCATGCAACTTGATCAATACTGCCATAGTATCTAGCAAGAATTCACAGTCTCATTGTAGATATACTCACTTTGGTGAAATACTTGGCCGCATTCTTCAGTTCATTTAAAATATGAATCAGTGCTAGTGAGAGAAGATAACCTTTCACCAACTTACAGTTAACACGAAACCTTGGCATACCATCCTTTGTCCTGATAATCACTACTTGAGATGATCACACACATTGTGAAGACTGTATGGTTCTAGCTTTCATCATCCTTTTATATCAGTGCTGGCTACATTCATAGCACTTCAGAATGCTTAATTCAAGATGCATTACCTATATCTATGTTATGGTGCATTACAGTTGTGTAACCATATTGGCCACCTGGTCCCACAAACATAACAGGATATGCAACCAACAAATCAGTGAGCTTCTTCTGCTGTGTTGAATCTAGATTGCTTGCACAATCGTCAAGTGTATCTGCAACTGCATATATTCTTTTGGATGTGGTGTAACAGAAGTAACTCCAGTGGTACAGTAGTCTCAATTATTCCCACTTTGCTTGCCATGCCAATGACCATTTCTGTGGGAAGCTGAATAGTTGATTATATTTGTAGAACACAAGGACTACACCTCTCCTTGGAGAAATAACTGTTTCAGTTAATGCTTCTGCTTTCTGGACAAAGAATGGGGAATTTCATGTGTTGGCTCTATCACTGTGTCATGCAAATACAGTGCATTAGACCGTGTCCTCCATATAACATGTAACTGCCTTTGTTTGGATGAGAATATATCTTACTAGGAAGACCCTTGAAGAAATTGTTTATGAGGATATACTCATGTTCTGTCAAAGCCATTACAGGGTATGTCTCATCATAAAATCGGTGCAGGTTTTCTGTGTGAGCAGGCAAATTATTGGCAGGACCTCTCTTTCAAGCCTTGTACTAAGCCCTATTGAAACATCAGCACAACTCAGCTACAACTGCATTCCAGTTCCATAGTTGTTCATCACTCAAGTGTTCAACATAATTAAGGACTGAACCAACTAAGTGTTAGGGTCAAATGTTGTGCCACCTGTTCCAGGCAGTGACCTACGTGAAATGCTTCAGGAAATGGCTTGTAGCCTTTATAATAGTATTACACTGTTTGAAGTATGTTTTGTACATGAAAAAAATTTATAGGTGCTTCATGTCTGGCTCTCAAGCCACTATGCAGCCTACATGTGTTTAACAAATAGTGGGTGATTGATAATCAATTCAACTAGGAGAGGGTCAAAGTGCTGTACTGTATGTGTGTGGTTTAATGGCCAATGGTTTGTTTAATTCTAAAACTAAACTGAACAGATTCTTGCCAGATTTACACGTGGCTAGGAAATGTGTCAAATGTATATGAACATAGTGATAAATATTGTTGCCAGGTTTAATACATATTCTTAACTTGTCATTTTGATGACAAACTTGCAGTCATAGCATTGTATCTAGCTTTTCATTGTTTATTCAGTATTGGACAGTTAGTGAACCTCCTACAGTCAGCAAAAAATACTAAGGATATGTTTCATACTGGAAAAGAAAATTTCTGCAGAGTATATTTACTAATTTTTTTTCATATTAAATTTGTATTTTGTTCTTTTTCAGATATGTCTTTATAATACACTGCTGAAATGTCAAAATACTAAACTGTAGATTAACCTTTATCATTAGTGAAGAGTGTTTTGGCTAAATATATATTAAATTGTTATGAGAGTAAAACAATAGAAAGAAGTTATTCCCTCAAAAAAGCGACCCCCCACTTCTGGTGCATTCATATATATATTTTTATAACAAATATGATCTCACATCTGTTCGTAATTCATAGCATTATGAAAATATGAAAATAATCCTAGAGTAAGATATTTTATGGCCCTGTAATGCTCATACTATATTTCTAGTATTAATACTATATTTGATTTCAAACACAGTTTCACAAAACTGTTCCAACATTCAGTCAGCTAGAATATGTTTTAGCATGCAACTTTTATTGCTACTTGACTAAAGATTATAAATTATCTTAAAGTCCCATTAGCCTTATTAACCAGGTACAAATTTAAGTCAACTTACTTTATCTCTAAAACTTTTTCTAGTAAAAATGTGATGTGTGAGCATATCAGGGATTTCCTACCTTCTATATTAGTATAGAATTATTTCAAGTTATTGATTATCTAGTATCCACACTCGTGGCAGAAACACATGGTTCAGGATGTCTATTATTATCTTGTTCTAGCCACCACAGTCTTTTGTTTTTTTAAATAGATGATGTCTTGTATCCTCAAGGATATTTCAGAGTATTTTGAACCTGAATTAAAACAAGTTAAAACTGGAATATGCTTTGCTGGCCAAACTGTGACAGCTAAAAATGATAGCTGACCAATGCTGTTGGGGAATAAAGGTCATAAGGTGATGCCATCCACTGAACAAAGAAAGTAAGCTGATGTTTGAAATTCAAACACACTTTCTTAGTTCATTTCTACTTGGCTTTCATTGTGACTAGTTTGGCAGAGATTCATTTCAAAAGATGAAAAACTATCTAGCTACTCCATGAACTAGTAGAAGTGATCGTCTACTTGTCTATGCAAGTACAAACACAGTTATTATGTTGTGTCTAAATACAGATTTTTTATACTGTCATTTAAATGTGTCCAATCTGTTTATTTCTCACGCAACTTAAATTCAGTCAAGTTATCAACTACAGAACACTTGTTATTTTGTGATCAAATCTGCTGTTATATGAGGGTTTGCCTGGAGAATAACTGACAGTGTTCTACATGACTAAAATAATACGTCAAAGCTCCTTTTCCCATTGTTGAGAGTATGTTCAATTATAGTCATATGTTTGATTCTTCAAAGGTAAATAGTTTGACATATCAGTCATCAGAAATTATAAAGTTATTTTTATTGAAAAATGAGAATCAAGCATTAATAACATTACTAGTGTACAGCTATATTTTTGAAGCCCCTCTTTTTTATACATGATTATATTAAACTATTATTTTCATGTAATTTGGACATTATTCAACCATGTGACTTTTGCATGTATTTTTTTATCATAATATATTTAACTTTAAACATTGTTGAAATCTTATTTAGAATGTAATACACCTCACCTGATGATGACCAGTTAACCCAATGAAGCACAGTGTTTTGGAACCTTTTTACTTTGTTTTCATCCATAAATAGAGTATTTTAAATTTTTTATGTGCCTGAATTATTCATGAAACCTATATGAAATTATACCAAAAGCTTTCAAGCAGAAAATACTGTAATGTTTTATCCAAATTTCTAGAAAGATGATTTGAAATTCCTTTAGCAGAATTTTTTTCCTTGATGAAACTTTCTTTTATTTGTGCTAGGCTGCAGATCAAAAGATCCAAGGTTTGAGTTTTGATGCCATTGAACACACCTCTCACCATCAGCTGTGGGCATGTTATTAAAAGTGATAACCAATTTCATTATTTGGTTCAAAGAATTAAACAAAGTCTTTGTAGTGGTGGGTGCTGCTAGTTGGCTGCTCTTCCTTTTGTCAGTAGTCAAAATTTGGGATGACTATACCTCAACCCTAAGGGTGTGTGACCTGAATGTTTAGACCATATGTACATAAATTGCTGTACTGTCTTTTATTCTTCAAAATGTTTTAATGGGTTCTCAGGTTGCTCCCAATTTTATAGAACATATTCAGAATATTTGTTTGAATTCTATTTGTCATCTTTTATTTTATGAACTATACATCTAGTGTTCATGGGTAGATTTGCTTGATGAATACCAACACCATTAAACAACTAATCATTGAGGTCATTTGGCCAAAACATTGGCCATGTAACTTTTGTTTCCCCCTCACAAGGACTTAAGCCATTGCATTGTATTTTCAAACCAACCAACAAACTTCTAAAGACACACACCTTGACATAGTAGATTAAATAAAAGAGTAAAACTATTTGAATAGTATAATTGTGTTCAAAATAAACAATATTCTACAACATAATATTCTAGCAAATGCTGTTAATGTGTTACTTAATTATTTTTTATTTTTTTTTGCTGTTTGTGTAGTTATTTATTTAATTGACAAACAGCAAACCAGATATCAATTGCAGCATTTCTTTCAAATATTCTAAAAACTAGAAAGTTTGTCTATTTGGTAAGTGTTATAAGATTATTTTTTCTGTAATTTCCGAAATGATGTTTGAAGACTAAATATAGATAAATCTATTAATTTGAGATCACTTTTTAAGTTTTATTTAGTCATTTCAAAACATTTTGATAACTTATTTAGGTCTGTTTTAGGCTTGCCAATTGTGTATATATGCATTTACACTAGAATAAGTAGTTTTATTTTAAGCTTAAGATATCTCAAGGAATAGGAAATTTAATATATTATATTTTTGAATCAAAATTACTAAATGAACATTTCAGGAAAATTTTGAATCTATAAAAGGATAAGATATTTTGTTGTGCTGTAAATGTTAAAATAAAAGTACATGAGGGAGCAATAAATACCAATAATTAAGTATTGACGAGTATTTGATAATGGAATATTTGTTCCAAAATAATTTATTTTAGTCTGATCACATTAAAGGGGTTTCTACATTTATATAATTTACCAAGTTTCTGTGGTATATCTTTTACAGCTTGATGCTGATAAAAACTTAGTAGACCAGTGTGTACAAGGAGAAGGATTAGTACAGATAAATGTGCATATTAAGGAAGAAGAAGGTAAATACCATTTTTGTTATTTAATGTAGTTATACTTAGTTTTGTACATTTTGTTCTTTATTATTTTTACATTGTATACCCCCCCCCCAAAAAAAAAGAAGTATAAAATATAATATCCCATATGTGAGGTATTTAATGAAGAAAGTTTTACATTTTCATTGTGTAATTTTTATATCAACTTGTACTGATGAAAATATAAATTCAAAGATGCTACTCATCACTACACAGAACAAATAACTAATACCTTGCACCACTGTCAAAAAGTTTTTGTATGTGCAACAAGCCTTTGAACAAACTCCTACTTGTACATGTAATAAGGTACTGCACCAGTCTATAATGCATACAATCAGCATTAGACTATACCTATTGACAAATAGGATGGTGACACATCTTCCATGCACAGTACTCCCCTTGAGCACTGTGTATGCCAAAAGCTCAGTCTTTTCCTCAGCACTCCAGTGTCCAGTCTGTTCTTTTTTTCATTAAGAATTATGGAACCCTTGCACTTGTTATTTTCAACTCTTTGTTAGCATTTGTAAGTGTTATCTTTTTTATTTTGAGGGTGAAAGATAAAAATTTTTAGATGAATTTCAGTTTGAGCTCCAGAAATGAATTACTCTTTTTTGTTTATATTACTTTGATTTCTTCCTTTAATCAAAATACAAGATTTTATGACACCTGTTTCAGAGTCTGTGATATAGTTGGTTTGAAAGGAATATTCCTTATCATCCTTAATCCAATTTTCAGGGAACAGTTGTTTCTGAAAGTACCCTCACCTTTGGTCATGTGGGAGCTTGGCTTGTAAACTTTGTCCACCAATGAACTCACTTTAGGTCACATATTTCTTCTCTCAGGAGCTTTATTTGTGTTTTGGGGCTTGCACCAGTCTGTTGTTACCTCAGTTCTGAGGGCTTTCATATGGAGAATGCACTCATTGGGTCTGAATTTCAACCATTACATGGACATTTGATATCTCCTAGTCCTGGCCTGAGAGGCATCATGTACTTAGACCTCTATTTTCCTTTGAGAATCTGCTCACTTGGATTTGTTGGTAAGGCTCCTAAATCAGTATTGACTCCCATTCTGTATCTGATTCATTTGAGAGTCTTTATTATCTCATTTTCTGGGTGGTAGGGGCTTAATCTTCTTCTTTACATTTCCTAGATATGGAGCTTCTGGTTTCTAAAGCTGTCACATCTCTTTTCCTTCCTCTTCATGAGGTTCTGCCTCTTCTGGGGACTCTATTCTCTCTTGTATCCCTTCATTGTCTGGACATGTCCTTCCATGGCCTCTGGCAGATCGGTGGAATATATCCTTGATATGTAAGTAGTTTAATGAGCTTGCCAACATTTTTTTTTTACAGCTGTCTGGACATCCGGATTTGATCTATTCTGGCAACTCCATTATCATTTCTTACATCAACTGACAGCAAGGTACTTAATCTGAAAACATCTGCTTTATTGTTCACAAGCTCCACATTTATGACAAACAACTTCCAGTTGTCAGCCTTCCATGTTGTGGTAGCTTTGAATTTAGTGGTGAATTGGCTGTCTCATCCAAACCAAATCCTTTTATAGAATGGTCCTTACAAATTCTGGTTTTCTTGTGGATTCATCCCTACTCTGGGAGTCCTCTTTGTGACTCCCCCTTTTTTCAAAGCTTCCACCTTTTTCTCCAGTCCCAGACTCTTTGGTCCTGAAAGTATTTCCTCTGAGTCTGGATTGGTCAACCTTCTTTCTGTATGCCTATCCTCATGTTTGACTTCTTCCAAGAATGCTATATTTAATTTACAGTACTCCTTGCAGGTGTAACAGGCAGGCCACATGGGTTAGTTGTTGGAGCTTAGACATTACCAGCAGTCACACCTAATGTATATTAAGTTGAGGATTGCAGTGGCAAGTGGAGCACACAAGTCACTAATTCAAGGAAGTTTATGGTTAGAATAAAGAATTTGACTCTGAGACTAAGATTCAAATCCATATCAAAACTATTAAACTCCTCAAGTGTAATTGGTAATTGTTCTTTAATTATACTTTCAATAACATTCCTTAAATTACTTTAATCGGCATCGGTTCAGTCGTTATTTATTTCATATTTTAATCTACCTTGGTTATTTCTCTACAGTTAGTGTTGAGAAAACAAGAGATAAAATATAAAAGTTTTACTAAGAAGACTTTTGATATTCATGTAGGAGGTTGTAGAGGTTATGCAAATGAACTATGAAAACTGTAAGGTGAAAATAAATATTTTTATTCTTAGCATGAAAATCAACTTTCACTCAAACTGACTCAGTAAAGACTGAAAATTTATAGACAAGTCTTTACTAGTAAATTCATAGATGCAGTATGTATAGCTTCACAGTTCCAAGGTTGGTCAAGTTCACCAAATTAATTTTTATAGGATTATATAGTAAAACAAATAATAAAAGTTGTGCATAAATGAGAAATGTTACATATGACAAAATTAAACATGAAATTCAACAAATATTTTGAGTACTTTTCCAGTATTTAAATGGTTTAGAACTGAAAACATTGTTTACATAATTTTTTCCAGTCAATTTACTTTCTTTTTTTTTGCAATGTCAAATACTCTAATGATTAAATACACTAACAACTTTCAGGTTGATAGGAATCACGCTTGATTTGACATTTTAGTTAACTGCAAATGTTTGAGAAGATTCAGTATGAAATTAAAAACCAGTAGGGGTATGTGGTTTGAATGTTTATCTGAATAATTGATAAGTTGAACATAAAATGAATTTTCTCCTAAGCCTAAAAAACATAAATAATGTAAAATTTCTAGAATAAAAATGAATATCAAACAGTTATTTACCATTGCAATTCAAAAAGTATTTCTTTTTTGAGTTTCCCTCATGCTTTTAACAAACATGTGACTAAAGTTCTGAATTGCAGAGCATGAGACAACTTACTGTTCTCCACTCTTCCATGTTAATTATTACAATCATACTTGGAGGATGCATATAAACTTTGCTTTTCCACCATAATTCAGATTTCACAGTCACAGTGTAGTTGTTATTGAAATCACATGTATCCCAGTTGTGAGAAAGTTAGAGTTAATTATATGTCTTTGAAATTCATTTTAATTCGAAAAGTTTAAAATTCAAAACAATCAGATTTAACTCTGAAATACAAAAATCCAAAATATCCATATAAGAGACTGGGCCAAATGAGGACACTCAAAAAATGCATTCTCCTTAGCAAGGTGTGAAGGATCACACTCAGCACCCTTTAAATAATACATAAAAGATGGGAAGTCAGGGGTAAATACTTACCTGTGGAATTTTGATATTCTCAGACATGGTTATGGTGGTGATGGTGTAACAAGTAGTTATGGTTCAATTGCAGTGTGTGTCCTATACCTGTAACTGAGGATAAGACCATTAGTAGCTCATGACTAAACATGCTTATAAAGCTACGGCACCCTACATTCACATCCAATAAGACTGGGCATGTCACGAAACTGGCCCAGTCAGCTGGCACCCAAGAAGAATCAAAAAGACCCAGGCACACCCAAGGATGGACTCTACAACACAAAGACAGTGTATTAAATAAATTTATTCTATGACCTCACACTCCTGTAATTCTTAAAAAGAGGGGTTGTCATAAACCAAGTGTGGCCCCAAGTGTTAGTTAAGCAATTAATAGAGAATAACTCACCTGCTAGGGATTCTATCTGGCTTGAACAATGACAACCAGAGGAGAAATGATATAACTAGTTTTATGAATGAATTAAAATTTGTCCTTATTCTGGCATGCAAGATATCCTCTAAAGGGTGCTGCAACATGGAAGGCAGAGACATTGCCAGGTGTTGAATCATTTTGGTGAGCAGCAACTCAAAATTAATTTTAAGATGTATGGGAACATACCAGTGAACAAGATGGATCAGTTGCACAAGTCAATTTGTTAAAGGAGCTAGAAAAAGATTCATTATTCATTGCAAGGTATAAACAACATTTCTCAAGACTCTCAGAAATATTTAGTATATGCAAGATATTGATGAATAGCTTTGAAAGGACATAAAAAGCACTCTTCTGAGTGAGAATGAAAATCATCCAGGGTAGGTAACACACTATGGAAAATAGTGGTTATTCTCTCTTGCAGCTCAAGGTAGGAAGGCATGATCAGAGTACAAGTATAAGGCTTTTCAAGAGAATAAGGTATAAGAAGCATCAAGGGCACAGATATTAGAATGTCATCCACCCAATACCAGTAATAAAAGAAGATATAATTGAACAAACAAGTCAGTAACAGTTCAAGAGGGGGTGGGGTGGAATCCAACAAATGTATTACCAAACCCAACTCCCATTTTAGTACGAAGGCTCAGAAGAGGCATTTGAATAAGAGGGACAAAAGGGATTGATAGAACCTGAAGGTGGCAGATAAGGCAGCTTTGTAACGAACTAAGGAAAAAACTGATAAACCACAGTTAATAAACAAATACATGAAGAAAAAAGCAATTTGTTGAGAAGTTGGAGATAATAAGGAATAACATGTCTACCAACTCCAGAAGATAACCCAACAAGAATTATAAACCAGAGAAGAGCTTCTGCAAGAATGGGCTAACAATTGAGCCACCTGTTAAGAGAGTTTGGCTTTTCAGACAAAACACCTAACAACAGCCAGCTGTGAAGTCGTAGACATTGAGCATCATTGTGGAAAGTGAACATTCAAGGTTGTCATAGATGATTCCACAGTATTAAAGGAATTAATTCCCCTTGATAAAATTGAGGTAATAGGGGAAACCCATGGTTGAATTGTCCAAATTGGAGAGATAAGGAAATCCAAGTAACTTATCTTGACCAGGACCCAAGGAAGAAAGCAAAGTGGAGGGTATACATGAAGGAAGAGGTTCTCCCAAAATTAACTCGGGGCATTCACTGCCAGAGAACTTGGATTTGGAACTGGAGACCAATAAAGTTCAATATATCAAAGGCATATACCATCAAATAACCCAGATGTATGCAAATCCACAGAAAATC